AAAAAAAGCACAGGGGACAAACTAAAAAAAGACAAATGGGACTTAAAGCAGTATCCAGAATATAGAAGGAACTTAAACAGCAGCAAAAACGAACAATTAAAACCAAAAAATGACCAATCCTATTTAAAAAGTAGGTAAAGGATATAATTAGACATTTCTTTTTTTTTTTTTTTTTTTTTTTTTGAGACGGGGTTTCGCTCTTGTTACCCAGGCTGGAGTGCAATGGCACGATCTCGGCTCACCGCAACCTCCGCCCCCTGGGTTCAGGCAATTCTCCTGCCTCAGCCTCCTGAGTAGCTGGGATTACAGGCACGCGCCACCATGTCCAGCTAATTTTTTGTATTTTTAGTAGAGACGGGGTTTCACCATGTTGACCAGGATGGTCTCGATCTCTCGACCTCGTGATCCACCCGCCTCAGCCTCCCAAAGTGCTGGGATTACAGGCTTGAGCCACCGCGCCCGGCCGACATTTCTTTTTTTTTAAGATGCAGTCTTGCTCTGTCACCAGGCTGGAGTGCAGTGGTGTGATCTTGGCTCTGTACAACCTCTGCCTCCCAGGTTCAAATGATTCTTCTGCCTCAGACTCCGAAGTAGCTGGGACTACAGGTGGGTGCCACCATGCCCAGCTAATTTTTTTTTTTTTTTTTTGAGACGGAGTTTCGCTCTTGTTACCCAGGCTGGAGTGCAATGGCACAATCTCGGCTCACCGCAACCTCCGCCTCCTGGGTTCAGGCAATTCTCCTGCCTCAGCCTCCTGAGTAGCTGGGACTACAGGCACGCACCACCATGCCCAGCTAATTTTTTGTATTTTTAGTAGAGACGGGGTTTCACCATGTTGACCAGGATGGTCTCGATCTCTCAACCTCGTGATCCACCCACCTTGGCCTCCCAAAGTGCTGGGATTACAGGTTTGAGTCACCGCGCCCGGCAAGTTTAGATGTTTTAATAGATGTGTAGTAGTATAGCTCATTGTGACTTTAATTTTAACTTTTCTCGTGATCAGTGATGTCAAGCATCTCTTCATGTGTTTATTTGCCATTCACATAACTTCTGTGGTGTCCATTGAATTTTTTTGCCCATTAGAAAAACATTGGTTGTTCTCTTATTGGGTTCTGAGAGTTCTTTTTTTTTTTTTTTTTTTTTTTTTTTGAGACAGAGTTTCACTCTTGTTACCCAGGCTGGAGTGCAATGGCACGATCTCAGCTCATCACAACCTCCACCTCCTGGGTTCAGGCAATTCTCCTGCCTCAGCCTCCTGAGTAGCTGGGATTACAGGCACGCGCCACCATGCCCAACTAGTTTTATTGTATTTTTAGTAGAGACGGGGTTTCACCATGTTGACCAGGATGGTCTCGATCTTTCGACCTCGTGATCCACCCACCTCGGCCTCCCAAAGTGCTGGGATTACAGGTTTGAGCCACCGCGCCCGGCGAGAGTTCTTTATATATTCTGGGTACACAGTCTAGATCAAATATGTGATTTACAAGTATTTTATGCCGGGCTGTAGCTTGCCTTTTCATTCTGTTAACAGTGTCAAGAAATTCAAATAGAATTTCTTGTAGGGGGAAAGGGGAGATGAAGAGAGGTTGATTAATGGGTACAAATACACAGTTAGAAAAAATAAGACCTAGTGTTAGAAAAAATAGGCCTAGTAGAGTGACTATAGTTTACAGGAATCGATTGCACATTTCAAAATAGCTAAAAAGAAATGTCAAAAATTTCCTCCCAGTATAGACTAAGAAAAGAAAAAAAAAACTCAAAACAATTTTTTGAGGTGGAGTCTCACTCTGTCTCCAGGCTGAAGTGCAGTGGCACAATCTCAGCTCACTGCAACCTCCACCTACTGGGTTCAAGTGATTTAGCCTCCTAAATAGCTGGGATTACAGGCATCCGCCACCATGCTCAGCTAATTTTTGTATTTTTAGTAGAGACAGGGTTTCACCATGTTGACCAGGATGGTCTCGATCTCTCGACCTCGTGATCCACCCGCCTCGGCCTCCCAAAGTGCTGGGATTACAGGCTTGAGCCACCACGCCCGGCAAGACTCTGTCTTTACGAAAAATACAAATATTGTCTAGGCATGGAGGTGCATACCTGTGGCCCCAACTACTACTTGGGAGGCTGAGTAGAGAAAGATTATTTGAGCAGTGAGGTTGAGGCTGCAGTGAGCTGTGATGGCACCACTGCACTCCAGCCTGGGTGACAGAGTAAGATCCTGCCTCAAAACAAGCAAATTAACAGACACCCTAGATGAAGTGCAAAAAAGAAAGAAAAAAACAAAAACAAAAACAAAAAAGAAAGATAAAATACAAGAAACAGCAGAGACTGGGTAATTTATAAAGAAGAAAAATTTAGCCTGGGTAACATGGTAAAACCCCATCCCTACAGAAAAAAATATATATAAAAATTAGCAGGGCGTAGTGATGTGTCCTAGTTACTCAGGAGGCTGAGGTGGGAAGATTACCTGAGCCCAGGAAGCTGTGGCTGCAATGAGCTGCGATTGTGCCACTGGATGACAGAGCAAGACCTTGTCTCAATAAATAAGTTAATAAAAATAATAACAAATAGCAAACTTATTTTTCACAGTTCTGGAAACTGCGAAAAACATCAGACAAATTCCAATTTAAGAGTATGCTGCAAGAAACCCGATCAGTTTTCCTCAAAATTGTCAAGGGCAGCTGGGCACTGTGGCTCACACCTGTAATCTTAGCACTTTGGGAGGCAGAGGCAGGTAGATTGCTTGAGCTCAGGAGTTTGAGATCAGCCTGACCAACATGGTGAACCTGTCTCTACTAAAAATACAAAAATTAGGCCGGGCGTGGTGGCTCGCGCCTATAATCCCAGAACTTTGGGAGGCCGAGAAGGGTGGATCACCTGAGGTCAGGAGTTCCAGACCATCCTAATGTGGTGAAACCCTCTCTCTACTAAAATACAAAAATTAGTCAGGCAGGGTGGCACGCACCTGTAGTTTCAGTTACTTGGGAGGCTGAGGCAGTAGAATCGCTTGAACCCAGGTGGCAGAGGTTGCAGTGACTGGAGACCTGCCATTGCACTCCAGCCTGGGTGACAGAGCCAGACTGTCTAGAAAAGAAAATAATAATAATACAAAAATTAGCTGGATGTGGTGGCAGGTGCCTGTAGTCTAAGCTACTTGGGAGGCTGAAGCAGGAGAATCACTTGAACCTGGGAGGCGGAGGTTGCAGTCAGCTGAGATGGTGCCACTGCACTCCAGACTGGGAAACAGAGCAAGACTCAGGCTCAAAAAAAAAAAAAAAGTCAAGGTCATAAAAAATAAGTTTAAGAGCAGGGCGCGGTGGCTCAAGCCTGTAATCCCAGCACTTTGGGAGGCCGAGACGGGTGGATTACGAGGTCAAGAGATCGAGACCATCCTGGTCAACATGGTGAAACCCTATCTCTACTAAAAATACAAAAAATTAGCTAGGCATCGTGGTGCATTCCTGTAATCCCAGCTACTCAGGAGGCTGAGGCAGGAGAATTGCCCGAACCCAGGAGGCAGAGGTTGCGGTGAGCCGAGATCGTGCCATTGCACTCCAGCCTGGGTAACAAGAGCGAAACTCCGTCTCAAAAAAAAAAAAAAAAAAAAAAATAAGTTTAAGAAATTGTCACAGCCAAAGGGAGCCTAAGGAAACATGATAACTAAATGTAAGGTGGTATCCTGGATGGAATCCAGGAACAGATAGGGCATTTAGGTAAAAAAAAAAAACTCGGAATAATGAATGTTATACAACTAATGTATAACCGATATGTAACTTAATGTTATATATTACATGTAATTGTAACTAATAAGTTATAACAAGTTAATGTTAATGTATCATTGTTAGGTCATTTGTTGTAACAACGTAAGGTTAGTAATAGGGGAAACTGTGGATATGTGTGTGTGGTACATGGGAACTCTATCATTTGCTCGATTTTTCTGTGCACTTAAAACCATCCTAAAAATATTAACAGTAAATAAGTAAGGAGAGCAATGGAGTACAACCCCCTGAACAAGAGGAATCCATAAATTTATACTTGTTATTCGCGTCCAATAGTACCAGATAGTAAACGCATTTAATAAAGAGATCTTCCAAACAGGCTTTGTGTGGGCAACAAGACCGTTTTATTTCGCGCTCCGGTGCAAGCAGGCGGAATCCGAGAAAGGACTGGTGGAGGGAGTAGGGGTGGGAATTTTTTTTTTTTTTTTTTTTTTTTTTTTGAGACGGAGTTTCGCTCTTGTTACCCAGGCTGGAGTGCAATGGCGCGATCTCGGCTCACCGCAACCTCCGCCTCCTGGGTTCAGGCAATTCTCCTGCCTCAGCCTCCTGAGTAGCTGGGATTACAGGCACGCGCCACCACGCCCAGCTAATTTTTTTGTATTTTTAGTAGAGACGGGGTTTCACCATGTTGACCGGGATGGTCTCGATCTCTTGACCTCGTGATCCACCCGCCTCGGCCTCCCAAAGTGCTGGGATTACAGGCTTGAGCCACCGCACCTGGCTTATTGGTATTTTTCTTATCCGTTACTGGGGACCTGCACCGCAGTAATTCTTTCCTTCCACAGAAAAGCATGAGCCTAAAATTACGCCAGGTGGTCATTTGTAGAAACGACCGGAATCCAAATTAGTGATATCAACGGTGGAGTTCGTTTGAAAAGTCAGTTAGTTCTCTGCCTTCTAGAAAGCCCTAAGAAGCATGCACTGAGAGCCGCTTATACATCTATCTATTCGGGGGCGCCAGGTTCTCATATTCCCTTTTTCTTCGGGGGTGAACGCCAGAGGAGGTCGCTGCTTTCTTTTAACCAAAGTTGGTGTTTTAAAATAACTTCCCCGCGGCAGATCTGGGAACTAATTCCGGTCTACTTTTGTTGCCAAATTAGTCCGTTTTTCACGCCATGGATTCTGGGAGACCTAGTCTACATGACGTGAGGTTTACGGAGCCGTTGTGAACGTCGGACTTCAATTCCCACAATGCCTGGCGCAAACGCCTAGTTGCGGCGTGGATAAACCGTGAGGTGGCCGCCATCTTGCGTACGGAGGTGCGGCTTGTTCCCGAGATTCTGAGCCTGGGCATTTAGACCCTCCAGATCTCGGCTTTGGCGTTGTGCCTGCGCTTTTCTTTCACCTTTACGGAGGTTCGTGTTGTCCTAGAAGAAGGTTTTGTTGGGAGGTAAAGGTCAATGCGTAGGGGTAGAGTAAGGTGAGTAGACGCCCCGTTTTAGGTGAGGGTGGGGTGGTGGCGGCGTTTTTCACTTTCTTGCTTCTTGCCTGGACCCCTTAGATGAGCTGTAAACGTAGAAGCAAGCTCGGTGTGAATTGTTGCGTCTCAGAGACCTCCAGAATTCCCGGACGGGACCTGGGCATGTCTCCATTGGGACAACCGAGCTGGGTGACGCACTTCTGCCCGGGCCGCTCACTCCGGAGGTCTCGAGGCTCGGGGCTCGCGTTGTGGATGGGCCACGCTGCGTTCACGCGACCCGCTCGCTCTTCCTCGGGACTTTTCGGAGACGTTTCCAATGAGGAAATGAGAACCCGAAAGGCGGCCTTAGGAGGAGGCCTGCTGCCGGGAGGGTGGCGTTCTCCGCAGCTGTCTTCCGCGAGCCTCTCTGTGGCCTGCTTGCATCGTTCTCTAGTTCACCTTTTTGTCCGTTTCTTTTTCTCTCGTGTTGGTGAGGAACACCAGAGAGTGGCACAGTGAAGAGTTCGGTACAATAAGCCTCTGGGCTGTACTTGGAGGTCGCTAAGGTATTTTAGGGGAAGCATTTTTTTTTTTTTTTTTTTTTTTTTAGTGATACAGGGTCTCGCTCTGTCGCCCAGGCTGGAGTGCGGTGGCGCCATCTCGGCTGACTGCAGCCTCCGCCTCCCCCCCCCCCCCACCGCCCTTCGAGCGATCCTCCCACCGTAACCTCCCGAGTAGCCGGGACCGCAGGTGCGTGCCACCGTGCCCGGCTAATTTATTGGTTTTTTTTCGGTTTGTTTGTTTGTTTGTTTTTGCTGTTGTTGCTGTTTGTTTGTATGTTTTGTTTGTTTTTGAGACGGAGTCTTGTTCTGTCGTCCAGGCTAGAGTTGAATGGCGCGATCTCGGCTCACTGCTACCTCTGCCTCTGGGGTTCAAGCAATTCTGCCCCAGCCTCCGGAGTAGCTAGGATTACAGGCGCCCGCCACCGTGCCCGGCTAATTTTTGTATTTTTGTGGAAACGGGGTTTCATCATCTTGGCCAGGGTGGCCTCAAACTCCAGACCTCGTGATCCACTCGCCTCCGCCTCCCGAAGTCCTGGGATTACAGGCGTGAGCCACCGCGCCCGGCCATTTATTGTATTTTTATTTTTATTTATTTATTTATTTATTTTATTTGAGACGGAGTTTTCACTCGTTACCCAGGCTGGAGTGCAATGGGGCGATCTCGGCTCACTGCAACCTCCGCCTCCTGGGTTCAGGCAATTCTCCTGCCTCAGCCTCCTGAGTAGCTGGGATTACAGGCACGCGCCACCATGCCCAGCTAATTTTTTGTATTTTTAGTAGAGACGGGGTTTCACCATGTTGACCAGGATGGTCTCGATCTCTTGACCTCGTGATCCACCCGCCTCGGCCTCCCAAAGTGCTGGGATTACAGGCTTGAGCCACCGCGCCAGGCCCTTGTTGTATTTAATATTAGAGATGGAGTTAGGCCATGTTGCTATGCTGGTCTTGAACTCCTGAGCAGCAATCCGCCCGCCTCAGCCTCCCAAGTGCTGGGATTACAGACTTGAGCCATTCCGCCATGCCCAAAGGGAAGCAAATTTTATCTTTATGATAGACAGTTTGGAAAAGATGAACGCTTTGATCTTTTGAGAGTTGCCAGATTTCTTATTAAATTTCTCTTTAAGTTGCAACTTATCTCTTTCACCCTTTTAAATTAACGCACTACACCCATTTAGGAATCTCTTTTACATTAGCTACTCACAGTAAAGGGCATTCCAAGACCGGCATTTCAGTTAATCTAATCTCACATTTGAATGCTAAGGAAATTGGTTGTCTGAGGTTTGGGAGAGAACTGGAGCTATATACGCTCAAAAACAGTGACTTTAAGGAAGGAGGTGCTCAGGAAGCTGTGTACCACGACCAGTGTGAGTGTGTGTTTATTTAGTGTTGGCACTTTTACTACCTTTTTATGTACCCAATTGTGTATCTATATTGTGAAAATATATTACTGATTCAACTTTACAAACATACTGAAATCTTTTAGGTCCTCCAGATTCGGAAGTGGATTGTTTAAAGTTGAGATAGATAGATATAGATGTATAGATATAGATAAATATTTTAAAGGATATTCAACGAGATCCCTCCCATAAACCACCATGGTATGACTGCGCTTAAATAGTAAGTGGTTATAAAACTGACTGGTATTTTGGGAAATTGTTACTATTAAATACTTATTTATTTAAGACAGGGTTTCACCATGTTGGTCAGGCTGGTCTTGAACTCCTGACCTCTGGTGATCCGCCCGCCTTGGCCTCCAAAGTGCTTGGATTACAGGCGTGAGCCACCACGCCCGGCCTACTATTAAATATTTATATCACAAATTTAAATGTCTTTAATTTTTTGTTTATGAAGAAATTTTTATTTAGATTTTTAAGATATTAGCTAGTAATTGTACGATTTATTTACTTCTCAGATGTCTTGTGAAATTGAAGGTAAATTCTTGGGACCTAGAGAAGAAGTAACAAGTGAACCACGCTGTAAAAAATTGAAGTCAACTCCAGAGGCATATATTTTTCACAATCATAGTGATGCTGATTTTCACAGAATCCAAGAGAAAACTGGAAATGATTGGGTCCCTGTGACCATCATTGATGTCAGAGGACATAGTTATTTGCAGGAGGATAAAACCAAAACTATGGATTTGTATAGACCTTTGCATGATGAGCTGCCTGGTAATAGACCAGATGTTATTGAATCCATTGATTCACATGTTTTACAGGAATCACGTCCTCCATTAGTATCTACAGACGATGAGATATATAGCACTAGTAAAGCATTTATAGGACCCATTTATAAACCCCCTGAGAAAAAGAAACGAAATGAAAGGAGGAATGAGGCAGACACACTAAATGGTAAAAATGGCAGAGGAGGACAAACAGAGAAACAGAAATTTAACTCTGAAAAATCGGAGATTGACAATGAATTATTCCAGTTTTACAAAGAAATTGAAGAGCTTGAAAAGGAAAAAGATGATTTTGAGAACAGTTGCAAAGAATCTGAACCTTCTCAGGAACAATTTATTCCATTGTATCAGGGTCATAATAATGGTCTCTTAAAACCAGAAGAAAAGAAAGATCTTAGTAATAATGCTCTTCCATCACGTTGTGATTATCAACAGAACTTGGGGAATGAGCCAGGCAAATATCCCTGTAATGGACAAGTGATACCTACATTTTGTGACACTTCATTTACTTCTTTCAGGCCTGAATGGCAATCAGTGCATCCTTTTATAGTGCCCCGTGGTCCTCCTCTTCCCAGTTTGAACTATCATTTAAATTTTCAAAGATTCAGTGCTCCACCAAATCTGCGATCAAATATTTTCCAAACCCAAGATGACTCTCAGATGCAAAATGGATATTATGTAAATAATTGTCATGTTAACTGGAATTGTATGACTTTTGATCGGAACAATGAATATACTGACTGTAGTGAGAATAGGAGTAGTGTTCATCCCTCTGGAGATGGCTGCGGTATGCAAGATGAATATGTGAGTAACGGTTTCTGTGAAGTCAGAGAAAGATGCTGGAAAGATCCTTGTATGGACAAGCATAATGGAACAGACAGGTTTGTGAACCAGCAGTTTGAAGAGGCAAAGTTAAATAAATTGCAGAAGTTGCTTATTCTTTTAAGAGGTCTGCCTGGTTCTGGGAAAACAACATTGTCTCGGTAAGTAAAGGATACCAACTGAATACTTGGTAATTCATTATTTAAAAATTATAAATGGTATTTGTAACCGGCTGCAGTGGCTCCTGCATGTAATCCCGACACTCTGGGAGGCCAAAGTGGGTGGGTCACTTGAGCTCAGGAGTTCAGGATCAGCCTGGGCAACACAGTGAGACTCTGTCTCTAAAAAATAAAAATTTTAAAACTGTAAATTTGTAATCAGTGACATGCTTTCTTGTTTCTAGTAGAAGAAAAATCTTTAATTTGTTAGCTTAAGAGTAGCATCTGCCGGGCGCGGTGGCTCAAGCCTGTAATCCCAGCACTTTGGGAGGCCGAGGCGGGTGGATCACGAGGTCAAGAGATCGAGACCATCCCGGTCAACATAGTGAAACCCCGTCTCTACTAAAAAATACAAAAAATTAGCTGGGCATGGTGGCTCGTGCCTGTAGTCCCAGCTACTCAGGAGGCTGAGGCAGGAGAATTGCCTGAACCCAGGAGGCAGAGGTTGCGATGAGCCGAGATCGTGCCATTGCACTCCAGCCTGGGTAACAAGAGCAAAAACTCTGTCTCAAAAAAAAAAAAAAAAAAAAAAAAGAGTAGCATCTGACATTGTAACTATTTAAAATCTTTTCTGATAGAAGAGAAGAGAATTGGCAGATATATATAGATTCTGCTAAGGGCTTTAAAATAGGTAACACTATAATTATGACAGTGATGAAAGTAAATGCTACTTGAGAACTGTCCTGGCCTGCCCTTTTAGTCAGCTATTCAAGAAAAGTTGGGACTGTGTTGGAAAATTTGGGTTTTTCAAGTTCAGCTGGAGGTAAGAAAAAAAAAAAGAAAATTTGAGTATTGACTCAAGTTATTTCAATTTTTCACTTTGGGCAAGTTTTGCTCTCTGTTAATGGAATAAATGATACTTAATTTTTCTGGAATTATTTTGGGAATCAAATGAAACAGCCGAAGGAAAGGAATTTTGAATGTGTTGAGCACTGTGCCATGTTTATACCATTGATTGGCAGAAGGAACTTTTTTTTGATGTCTTAAAATTCAGGAGTTTGAAGTGACCAATATCTGAATTGGCATTAGAATTTGTGGTGGTTTATTGTACAAGATATTTCAAATTCCTTTTTTTGTTTACATTTTAAAACTATTGACGCACTTGAATATATTTATGCAATTGTGAAAAAATAGTGTAAAGAAAGCAGTACAAAATCTCAGCAATTTATATCAGTTGGTTCAAGAATTGTGCCAGACAAGGAGAAAAAGAAAATTTTTTGGTATCTTTGGGTGAGGACAGAGAAGTCCCAGAAACCATTTTGCAAATGTTTTATATTTACTAGCAAGACAGTCTATCTAAACTAAATAAATATTTGTTTCAGAGAAAAGACACTAAAGAAAGATTTAATTTCTGATATTTCAAGCTGGATTATAAACTGTGATCTTTGTGAATGAATTAATTCATTCCAAAGTTAAATTTTGCTCTTTGTATTTTGATTCCTTTTACTATAGTGAGGATTTTGTAGAGAAAATTAAATTTCACCTCTAGTACAAGTTAGGAATGAGGTCTCACAAACATGGGCAGTCTTCTAGGTTTAGGATATACTATCAGAGAAAGTAAATAATTGAAATAATTTGGAAATTCGATAAAAGTCCACTAGTTAGGACCAATTGACAAGAGTGGGTATGGAAGAAACGGTGGAAAAGTTAGATTTGAGACAACATATTGGAGTATGTTGAAACTAAAGGTGAATAAAGTAGTGGGAATTCAATACAATATAAAGGAGACATTGTAGTGGGAGATATTAGTGATTAGATATGTCTGTTTATTTGAAGACTAGATACGTAAGAATGGAAGTTATATGTAGTACCATCAAGTACCATTTGTATTGTGATTCACAATTTACAGAGTTATTTCCATATGTAAAAATCTTGTGAGATGAGTTGTTTTTTCATCTTACAGAAGGAGCAGAGGCTAAAGGAAGTTCAGGTTAAGTGACTTAGAAGTTAAAAAAACTAGTAAGAGATCAAACTAGGAATAAAATGATAGCATGTTTTTTCCCTTGCCTTTACTTTAATGTTTAAGGGATATATAGTCTTACATGTGACTCCTGACTTCCAGGAGCCTGGTTAAAGAGGCAGAAGTACCTCTTTAGGTCAACACTTTTTGAATGAAGTGGTGTTGGTTATTTGGAATTAGATATAAAGTCACATATTCTTTGGTGAGGAATGACTTCATATGGGAGTTCCCATTTCAAACAAGCTTTGATGAAAGAATAGTGTGAAAATTGGTAGATCAGAGTTGAACTGATTTGGAGGACCAAATTAAAAGAGCGGCTGGACGCAATAGCACACCCCTGAAATCCCAGCACTTTGGGAGGCCAAGGCAGGCAGGTTGCTTGAGCCCAGGAGTTCAAGACCAGCCTGGATAACCTGGGTATCTCAGCTACTTGGAAGGCTGAGCTCCCGAGGCTGCAGCAGCCCATGATTGCCCCACTGCACTCTAGTCTGGGTGACAGACTGAGACCCTGACTCAAAAAAAAAAAAGTAATGTTTACATTTGGTATATGGTAATGAGTGTAGGCGATTGGATAAAATTCGGATTCTTTAGAGGTAGTGTTCAAGTTTTCTTTACTTAATTTAGTCCTTGCCGGCATCAGTCACCATGTCTGTAACGTGGTAAGTATTCAAGATGTATGATGATGATTCTGAGCAAGACAGTAGGCCATAATACCTTGGCCATAGTTTTGGCCCATGGGGTGTTTATGGATTAGCATAGCCCAATAAAGATGTCACTTTTCCCCCAATTGATATATAAATTCAGAGAAACTTTAACCTAAATCCCAAAGGAATTTTTTTTTTTTTAAATTTATTTATTTATTTATTTATTTATTTATTTTTTAAGGCAGAGTTTCACTCTTGTTACCCAGGCTGGAGTGCAATGGCGTGATCTCGGCTCACCGCAACCTCCGCCTCCTGGGTTCAGGCAATTCTCCTGCCTCAGCCTCCTGAGTAGCTGGGATTACAGGCACACGCCACCATGCCCAGCTAATTTTTTGTATTTTTAGTAGAGACAGGGTTTCACCATGTTGACCAGGATGGTCTCGATCTCTTGACCTTGTGATCCACCCGCCTCGGCCTCCCAAAGTGCTGGGATTACAGGCTTGAGCCACCGCGCCCGGCCCAAAGGAATTTTTGTGTGAATTTGAGAAGCCAATAAAATTTGTTTGATATTTAACGATAACAAGTACAGTTTGAAGAAAACGAGACTTACCCCACCAGCTATCAAAATATACTTAGAAACTATTGTAATTAAAACTTTGCAATAACTAGCAAAAGAACAAACATAAAATTAGATAGAAAACCCAGAAACAGGCTGGGCGCGGTGGCTGAAGCCTGTAATCCCAGCACTTTGGGAGGCCGAGGCGGGTGGATCACGAGGTTGAGAGATCGAGACCAACCTGGTCAACATGGTGAAACCCCGTCTCTACTAAAAATACAAAACATTAGCTGGGCATGGTGGTGCGTGCCTGTAATCCCAGCTACTCAGGAGGCTGAGACAGGAGAATTGCCTGAACCCAGGAGGCGGAGGTTGCGGTGAGCCGAGATCGTGCCATTGCACTCCAGCCTGGGTAACAAGAGTGAAACTCTGACTCAAAAAAAATAAAAAAATAAAAAATGAAACCCAGAAACAGGCTAGGCATGGTGGCTTACACCTGTAATCCCAACAGTTTGGGAGCCTGAGGTGGGATCATCACTTGAGGCCAGAAGTTTGAGATCAATTTGGGCAACATAGACCATTTCTATTAAAAAAAATGAAAATTTTTTTTAAAGGAAAAGATAATTCAGAAACATACCTGCATATAAGAGAATTTAATATTTGATGAAATGACATATCAGTAGGGCAAAATATTCAATAAATGGTAATAGGATATTTGATTGTTGGTTTGGAAAAATATTTAAAGCCCCTATCTTAAATCATTCACAAAAATAACTTCTAGATGGATAAAGGACTAAAAGTAAAAACAAAACCAACAAGGAAACTGGAAGAAAATATAGATTTTTAAAAGTAATTTGAAAGAATGGGTAAAACAGTAGGATCTTTCTTAACCACCCAAGAAATTAAAAGTGAGGGAATTTAAGAATTAAGTTTTTTTTTGTCTTCTGTTTTAACTATTGTGTATATTTACAGTGGTAGGCTGAATAAGGTCCCCCTAAAGATATCCATGTCCTAAACCCTAAAACCTGTGCATGTGTTGCCTTACATGGTAAATGGGATTTCGCAAATTTGATTAAGTTAAGGATCTTAGGATAGGGAAGCTGTCCTGGATTATCTGGATTGGCCCAATATATTCACAAACGTTCTTAATAAGAGGGAGACAGGAGGAATTGGTCATATAGAGAAGGGGTAAGACCAAAAGCAACGATCAAGAGAGAAGCTACCGTGTTGGCTTTGAAGATAGCGGAATGTCCCATAAGCCCAGGTGTGCAGCTAACCTTTAGAAGCCAGAAAAGCAAGAAAACAAATTCCGTAGAGCCTCCAGAAGGAACACAAGTCTGCAAGCACTTGGTTTTTTAGCTCAGTGAAACTGATGTTGGACTACTAACTTTCAAAACTGTAAGATAAATTCCTGTTTTTAAATTTGTGGTGGTATAGAAACTAATATACTTACTATAGTTTGGAGAGAGATGGGAAGAGCTTATTTTTTTTCTCCTCCTTTTGGAGGAGGTAAGTCTCTATTTAAACTCCAGAGGAAAGACTTGCTTTTCTTCATGTAGGTCCTTTTATTGTTAATTCAGGGACTGTTTAGAGATTGAAGTACCCCAGTAAAGTAGTCTCAGCATAGGAAGTATACAAAGGCACTCAATAAATAAGGAGGTAAATGGTTTATGATGTGTCGGTTTTACTAGATTTTGTGTGTGTGTGTTTTTTTAATCACTTGTAAATGCACATGAAAGTATTAATGTGCAGTTCTTAGACATTTAAAAAAGAGACCATGAAAATGGACTCTTGTAGGCCTTGTTTTGGCAACAGGCTCTCTTGGTTCACCACTTGTTTCTTTTTTTTTTTTGGAGACGGAGTTTCGCTCTTGTTACCCAAGCTAGAGTGCAATGGTGCGATCTCGGCTCACCGCAACCTCCGCCTCTTGGGTTCAGGCAATTCTCCTGCCTCAGCCTCCTGAGTAGCTGGGACTACAGGCATGTGCCACCATGCCCAGCTAATTTTTTGTATTTTTAGTAAAGACGGGGTTTCACCATGTTGACCAGGATGGTCTCGATCTCTCGACCTCGTGATCCACCCGCCTCAGCCTCCCAAAGTGCTGGGATTACAGGCTTGAGCCACTGCGCCCGGCCACCACTTGTTTCTTAAGCGAGAAATTGTAAGTGTAGAGTGCATTAGTTATTCAAGGCCATATAACAGATTACCCTAAAACTTAGTTGTTTAAAGCAACAAACATATATTGCCTCATAGTTTCTGTAGGTCTAGACTCTGGCTATAGTTAAACCTGGGTGCCTTTGGTTCAACGACTCTAAGAATGCTGTGATTAAGATGTTGGCTAGGACTGTGTTCTGATCTGAAGGCTAGATTTGGAAAGGATCTGGTTCTAAGAGCTCTCAAGATTGTTGACAGGACTGAGTTTCTTGTGAGCTATGTTGGATTGAAGACTTAGTTCCTTGCTGCCCGGAGACTGGAGACTTCTTGCATTTCTTTGCTACTTGGTCTCTGTCCATTTGCAAGACAGCTGATTGCAAGCTCAAGTCTAAGACAAGCTATTTTTTCTTAGTAATCTCTGAAGTGGCATCCCATAAACTGTATCATATTCTATTCCTTAGACGCTAGGGACTAATGCAAGCACGCTCCATAATAAGAAGATACAAGGTTGTGAGTACCAGGAGACAGGGATCATTGGAGGCCATTGATTTTGGGGTCAAGGAGATGCCTTATCTTAGCTCTCCCACTACCATCTAACTTGCTGAAATTATTTCTTCTCCTGGATTAGTTTATTATCACGTTGGTAGGCTTTTATGAAGATTAAACAAGGTCATAGATGTATGTAAAATGTTTGACATGTAATATGTTCTTTAAAAGATAGCTATTTTTCAGTTTTGAAAAAATAGAAATCAAATGCCGGGCGCGGTGGCTCACGCCTGTAATCCCAGCACTTTGGGAGGCCGAGGTGGGTGGATCACGAGGTCAAGAGATCAAGACCATCCTGGTCAACATAGTGAAACCCTGTCTCTACTAAAAATACTAAAAATTAGCTGGGCATGGTGGTGCGTGCCTGTAATCCCAGCTACTCAGGAGGCTGAGGCAGGAGAATTGCCTGAAACCAGGAGGCGGAGGTTGCGGTGAGCCGAGATCGCGCCATTGCACTCCAGCCTGGGTAACAAGAGCGAAACTCCGTCTCAAAAAAAAAAAAAAAGAAAAAAAAAGAAAAAATAGAAATCAAGTGGCCCCTGAGCCCAGATTTGATTTTTTAAAATTAGATATTTTACTTACTCAAATTTCTAAATTTTGACATTCTGAGAATCCATTTTAGTACCTGACTTGAGAGTTCTGACACAGTCTAAGAATTTTGAAAATACTAATGTTCTTAAATATTTTATTTTTGCTTTAGAGGCTTGGTATGACATTTAGATATTCCTAGATTCATATAGGTGTTTTTTTAAGTCCATAAAATAAAGCTTCATAGTTTAAAGTAGTTCAGGGAATTTGAAAAGATGCATGACCAGTCTATGCTGCCTGGGAGGAAAAGTCTTTTCCAGCTAAACGTATTTACTTTAATTATGATTTATATATATATATAAATATTTATTTTTTTATTTTTATTTTTATTTTTTTTGAGACGGAGTTTCGCTCTTGTTACCCAGGCTGGAGTGCAATGGCACGATCTCGGCTCACCGCAACCTCCACCTCCTGGGCTCAGGCAATTCTCCTGCCTCAGCCTCCTAAGTAGCTGGGATTACAGGCACACGCCACCACGCCCAGCTAGTTTTTTGTATTTTTAGTAGAGACGGGGTTTCACCATGTTGACCAGGCCGGTCTCGATCTCTCGACCTCTTGATCCACCCGTCTCGGCCTCCCAAAGTGCTGGGATTACAGGCTTGAGCCACCGCGCCCGGCCGATTTATATATTTAAGACAGTGTTCTTCATAGAGATTTGTTCATGTATAATGTTGACTTGTTTTAATGATATAAATTGGTTTATTGCTCCCCTGCCTTTTTTTATTTTGAGAAAATTTAAACCATTTCTTAGATACAAAAATTATGATTGTCATGTAGAATAATATTATTAACGTTAAAAATCACGTGCTAATAAAGTAATAGATTGGGGATAAAAAGAAAGCATGGGTTATCTAGAAAAGGTGTTACCTGGATTTCTGGTACTGTTGAATATAATTAGATACTGTGGTTGATTACTATCAAAATCTCTTTTTGGGTGATTGAGTTTTGCTTTAGAATGCTAATATGATATTTTCATATTCTAGTTTTATCTGTATAAGTAGTAAGATGCCAAGTATTTTTTGGAAAAATCATAGCTGCTTGAAAAAGAAATCCAACTCTAGTTCCCCATAGAAGCAGACACATAACCCAAACCATTAACTTTCATTTGGTTTGTCTGAAGTAATTTGAACTGTAATTCTGTAAGTGGAAATAGAGATTTGTGCAAAAGCAATCACAGTTTTTTATTGGCAATTTAATTATCAAAAACTGCAATTACATTCTCACCAACCTATTCATATTTAAATTGTTTTATTTTGATACAAGTGATTTTGTTTTTATGATCAAACATACCACTGGCCATCCATATTTGTTGGTTCCACATCAGTGAATTCAACGAACCCTGGACTGAAAGTATTTGAGAAACTATTGCATCTGTATTGAAATACGGTATAACAACTATTTACATAGTATTCACATTGTATTAGGTGTTGTAAGTAATTCAGAGATGAGTTAAAGTATATGGGAGGATGTGCATAGTTTATATGCAAACAGCCATTTTATATCAAAGGCTGGAGCAGCAAGTGTGGTCCTGGAACGAAGCTCCTATGGATACTGAGGGAGAACTGTGTATGATACCATTATAAGCTGAGGAATGGAGAGATGACATTTGTCATCTTAATAGTTGAAACTCTTTCTACTACCTTTTAGTAGGAAGTAAGGAATCTTGAATCATTCCAGGCCGATACTCTTTTACTCTCAATTCCTTGTATTAATACCACCTTCCATCCTGCCAATCCCCTCAAAATTATACAGTGACATCCAATTGCCTAATGGTTGAAGGAGAGGAAACAACAAAATACTTTAGTAGTTGTTGTTGGATCCAAATAATTACCTTGCTGCATTTTCCCTGTCACAGCACACTCCCAATTCTTTCATAGCCATTGATAATGGGAGTTCTCTCTGAGTACTTGTTAATCTTGCTGTGCTTGTCAGTGTAAGGTGGTATCATTTTCAAAACAAAGCTTGATTATCATTGACCTGAGCTGAAAGTTTTTAATTCAGTGCTTAATAATTTCATTTAGTGACTTAACTTTGGAGGATCACAGTTTATTCCTTAACCTTAGGCCTCCAACTGTGTCTGACTTTCACTAGAGGATTATATATGCTTTGTGGAAATAGGTTTATTAAAGCTGTCTGGAGTCATGTATGGTTTTTCCCAGATGAATTGCTTGCTTAGGCTTGCTTTCTTCTTAGGTTACTTGTTGTACTAGATTGAGGCAATTTTAGATACCAAATACAGATTTACTAAAGTGAAATCATGGATAATAGTTGATATAATACTGAGATTGGGTGAAGAATGTTGCAATACAAATGCTTTAACAGTTTTTGTTAGTGGCTGTAGTTGTGTAATTTAAGTGTGAAGTGATTTGAAATCTGAAGTCTTTTTTTTTTTTTTTTGAGACGGAGTTTCGCTCTTGTTGCCCAGGCTGGAGTGCAATGGCGCAATCTCGGCTCACCACAACATCCGCCTCCTGGGTTCAGGCAATTCTCCTGCCTCAACCTCCTGAGTAGCTGGGATTACAGGCACGCGCCACCATGCCCAGCTGATTTTTAGTATTTTTAGTAGAGACGGGGTTTCACCACGTTGACCAGGATGGTCTCGATCTCTTGACCTCGTGATCCACCCGCCTCGGCCTCCCAAAGTGCTGGGATTACAGGCTTGAGCCACCGCGCCCGGCAAGTCTTTTTAAGATTAGTCAGCTCTTGTGCTATTGGTTTGCAATATACTTTCAGGTAAGTATCAGAAATTCAGTTAATAACTTTTCAGTGTGATTTATTTCAATTGGTTATCTTTATTTCTGATTTATTTTTGATGGTTTATTCCTGATGGTTATAGATTTTATAAATAGCACCTTTTATGATTTCTTTTATTAACAGGATTCTGCTTGGTCAGAATCGTGATGGCATTGTGTTCAGCACTGATGACTATTTTCACCATCAAGATGGGTACAGGTATAATGTTAATCAACTTGGTGATGCCCATGACTGGAACCAGAACAGAGGTTTGTTTTGGGCCAAGTCTCCCGGGATAGAATATTTGGCTAGGAGTCAAAATACCTAGATTTTATTCTCACCTTGGGTTTTTACCAGCTGAATGACTTTAGGCTAGCCGTTTAAATAGCTTTGAGATATAATTTCTTCATCTGTTAAGAGGTAGAGATAAATAGACTTGCTCTACCTGATCAGGGTTTTTGTGAAAAGCAGAAAATTTAGATAAAACACTTTGTAAACTGTAAATAGTGTATCAGTATAAGCTGGTAAAATAAGAGCAGTGTGGGATATTTTGAAAGGCTTTGTTTTATACTTTATGAGTAAATTCAGAGAACTCTGAATCTGTACCATTGTTAGATAGTCCCAAAATGTTCTTTCCCTGAGAATAATGTTAATGTTTTCTAAGGCTTAATATATCGGTTATGAATATTAAAAGTTTTTCTCATTGATATTGCTCTACAGGAAATCTACTTAATACATTTTTTTAGCAGACATGGGTCAGTTTCTGCTTATCATTAATACAGGTTCTTAACCTGGGCTGCACATTTTAATTACTTGGGAACTTTTTTTAAAAAAGTTCCTGGCCTCAGCATCAGGTATTTTGGTTTAATTAATCTGGAGCGGGGCCTAAGCATTGGTATTTTTTGTTTTGAAAGTTCTCCAGATTATTCTGATATACAGTCGGAGTTGAAAAGTGTTGATCTAGAACTATAAGTAAATATATATACTATGTTATTTTTAAAAAGAAGAATGGATTGATGATTAAACAAATAGCTTTTATTATGAAAATTTTTAAACATATTTTTTTTTTTTGAGACGGAGTTTCGCTCTTGTTACCCAGGCTGGAGTGCAATGGCGTGATCTCGGCTCACTGCAACCTCCACCTTCTGGGTTCAGGCAATTCTCCTGCCTCAGCCTCCTGCGTAGCTGGGATTATAGGCACGCGCCACCATGCCCAGCTAATTTTTTGTATTTTTAGTAGAGATGGGGTTTCACCATGTTGACCAGGTTGGTCTCGATCTTTCGACCTCGTGATCCACCCGCCTCGGCCTCCCAAAGTGCTGGGATTACAGGCTTGAGCCACCGCGCCCGGCCTTAAACATAGATTAAAGAGACTGTAATGAACCTCATAGAGTCATCACCCAGAATTACCATTTATTAAGATTTTGGTATATGGGCTTTTATCTTTTTGTTTTTTACCCCCTCTTCTTTTTAAAGCAAATTCTAGACATCATACTTTATGCATTTCAAATTAACTCTTTTATTTAGTCACATCTTTCACTGCAATACCATTGTAACACATTAAAAAAAATATCAATTTCTTCACATCATGTAATCCAGTCTGTAATTGAATTTCCTCTGTTGTCCTAAAAATCTCTTCACAGATACTTTGTTTGAATTGGGATCCAAACAAAGTCCTCAAAGTACATTTTGTTTTATTTAATTATGTTAACTAATAGCATTTTCCTTCTTTTAACCCTCATACCATTAACTTGTTGCAGAAACTAGGTAGTTTATCCTGTAGAATGTTCCACATGCTGTAGTTGTCTGTTTGCTTCTTGGTGTTAACTGTTTAATTTGCTCTTCTTATTCCTATGTTTTCTGTGAATGGAAATTAGCTCTAGACTACAGGCTTGATTAGGTTCAACTTTTTTTTGTTTTTTTGGCAAGCAGGTATTTGTTTGTCCTACTCTTAGTAGTGGTAAGCTTAATCAGTAACTTCACAGGGCCAACCTCTTCCCTCCGTCTATTATCAAGTTCCCTATTAACCTTATGTCTGATAGTTTTAGCTAACAATAAATTGTTTCCTGAGTCAGTTATTTCATTCAGAATTGCAAAATGGTAATTTTTAGGTTAGTTATTTCTTCTATGTTTAATAGAATTCCTCTGTAATGAAGAACTAGTCTCAAAGCTACCAACTAGTGTTGTCCTAAAGTGTAGTATATACAAGAAAAATAGTAATGCTTTTCTTTTTAATTGTGAAATACAGTAAGGAATTTCAGTGAGGATGTTTATGTGTGTGTTTTGGAGATGGGCTCTTGCTTTGTTGTCCAAGCTGGAGTGTAGTGACACAATCATAGCTTAGTATAGTGTTGAATTCCTGGGCTTAAGGGATCCTCCTGCCTCAGCCTCCTGAGTAGCTGGGACTAAATACATGCACCAGCACACCCAGCTATTTTTTCAAAAAAAATTTTGTAGAGACAGGGTATTGCTATGTTTCCCAGACTGGTCTCAAATTCCTGGACTCAAGCGATCCTCCTACCTTTGCCTCCCAAAGTGCTGGGCTTAAAGACATGAGCCACAGTGCCTGGCTGAGGATGTTTTCAAGTAAAAAGTTTTCACTCGGTTACGATTTATAGTTTTACAAGAATGTTTAAATATCAGATAAGTGTGATTGTAAACCTGTTTCCTGGTATTGATTTTATAACACTCCAGGATTTCTCCGAATGTATTAGAGGGTGGCATAGCAATTTCAAAAAATACTAGTTTTTTAATTTTTTTAATGCCATAGAACATTGTTGCTGAAATCAAATAATGATGGTATTACAATTCTGAAAATATTTGGAGTTACTGGTCTAAAGTTAAGGGGAGCAAGATTAGTTGATAAGTTGAATGAATAGACAGTGAGCAGAGCCAGCATACCTTTGGTAAACTAGTAAGTTTGTGTGGAACATTTTTTTCTTTTTGCAATACTAGCATAGCTGGATGGAGTGGCTCATGTCTATAATCCCCATACTTTGGGAGGCCGAAGCAGGCGGATCACTTGAGCCCAGGAGTTAGAGACCAGCCTGGGCAACATGATGACACCTTCTCTCTACAAAAAAAAAAAAAAGAAAAATTAGCCAGGCATGGTGGTGCACACCTGTACTCCCAGCTACTTGCAAGGCTGAGATAGGAGGATTGCTTGAGCCAGAGGGGTCAAGGCTGCAGTGAGCAGAGATCATGCTGTTGCACTCCAGCCTGGGTAGCAGGGCAAGATTCTTTCTTAAAGAACAAACAGGCCGGGCGTGGTGGCTCAAGCCTGTAATCCCAGCACTTTGGGAGGCCGAGGCAGGTAGATCACGAGGTCGAGAGATCGAGACCATCCTGGTCAACATGGTGAAACCCTGTCTCTACTAAAAATACAAAAAATTAGCTGGGCATGGTGGCACATGCCTGTAATCCCAGCTACTCAGGAGGCTGAGGCAGGAGAATTGCCTGAACCCAGGAGGCGGAGGTTGCGGTGAGCCGAGATCGCGCCATTGCACTCCAGCCTGGGTAACAAGAGTGAAACTCCGTCTCAAAAAAAAAAAAAAAAAAAAAAAAAAATAGACTAGTACAGAATGTTTCATTAAAATGCTTATGTCATTTGAATTATTTTAATTATACTTGCTAAATGGAATAATGGTATCTTACTAAACAAGAATAATAAATATGGAATTGAATATCTTTAAATGCTAGGCACCATTCTGTGATGGACTTGAATATCTTTATATGCTAGGTACCATTCTATGAAACTCTGACTGCTTCATCATTATTATTATTATTATTTTTTTTTTTTTTTTTTTTTTTGAGACGGAGTTTCGCTCTTGTCACCCAGGCTGGAGTGCAATGGCGCGATCTCGGCTCACCGCAACCTCCGCCTCCTGGGTTCAGGCAATTCTCCTGCCTCAGCCTCCTGAGTAGCTTGGATTACAGACACGCGCCACCATGCCCAGCTTATTTTTTTTGTATTTTTAGTAGAGACGGGGTTTCACCATGTTGACCAGGTTGGTCTCGATCTCTCGACCTTGTGATCCACCCGCCTCGGCCTCCCAAAGTGCTGGGATTACAGGCTTGAGCCACCGCGCCCGGCCCATCATTATTATTAAATTAATTTTAGAACCCCTAAAAAATTGAAAATATCTCCAAAGTGTGATTCTTCTCTTACAGTATGATAGTTCATTTGCTTAAGAAAAGTATAGGATATTCAAAACATGTTTTTAGTTAGAAGCTCTTTTCACATGGAATGTACTAGACAGTGGTATTGGATGATAATGGAAAGAAGATAATTCCCCGTTCCTACAAACCAGAAATTTATTTGGTCAATAAGCTTATTTTCTAGGACACAACTCCTTGGATGTGTAAGCCTATCAGATACTAGGAGAATAATTTTAATAAGGTTTGAATGGAAGATTTGGTCACTGATTAGAGACAGAGCCGTGGCAGATGACAGTGTCTTGGTGCCAGCACCAAGCTAGCACTCATAGATGATGGCACCCATTTGTGACCCAAATTCTAAATTTCTTTTGGTATTTAGAGACATCTCCCAAATATGTATTTCACCGTAGTTATTATTCTAACTGACCTTTAGCATCCTGTCTGTCCTAGACATCTGGATAAATGTTTTCATTCTGTTCAGCTTGGTTGCTTGAATTCTAACTCCTGAGAAAATGTCCATATCTTTGCATTTTGCTTCAGGCTTTTTTTTTCCCCCATAGTTTATTGGGGAACAGGAGGTGTTTGGTTACATGAATAGATTCTTTAGCATTGATTTGTGAGATTTTGATGCATTCATCACCCAAGCAGTATACAGATTTGTAGTCTTTTATCCCTCATACCTTCCCACCCTTTCCTCTGAGTCCCCAGAGTTGTGTCATTGTTATGCCTTTGCATCCTCATAGCTTAGCTCCTGCTTATGAGTAAGAACATTCAATGTTTCCTTTCGCTTCAGCCTTTTAATTTTTTTTTTTTTTTTTTGAGTTTCACTCTGTTGCCCAGGGTGGAGTGCAGTGGCGCCATCTTGGCTCACTGCAACGTTTGCTTCCCGGGTTCAAGCAGTTCTCTGCCTCAGCCTCCTGAGTAGCTGGGATTACAGGTGCTAACCACCATACCCAGCTAGTTTTTGTATTTTTGGTAGAGACGGGGTTTCACCATTTTCGCCAGGTTGGTCTTTAACTCCTCACCTCTTGATCCACCTGCGTTGGCCTCCCAGAGTTCTGGGATTACAGTCGTGAGCCACCGTGCCCTGCCTTTTTCTCTTTTTTTTTGAGACTGAGTCTCACGCTGTTGCCCAGGGCTGGAGTGCTATGGTGCAGCCTTGGCTCATAGCAACCTCCACCTCACAAGGTTGTGCCTCAGCCTCCTGTGTAGCTGGGACTACAGGCGCACACCACCACACCTGGCTAATTAGTTTATTTTTAGTAGAGACAGGGTTTTGCCATTTTGGACAGGCTGGTCTTGAATTCCTGATCTTAGGTGATCCACCCATCTTGGCTTCCCAAAGTGCTGGGATTACAGATGTGAGCCACCACCTGGCCTTAGCCTTTTAAATTTTATCAAGGGTTCTTAATTATTTTTATTGTCCAGCATATCTAAGAGATACACATATTCCTGTCATTAACAGTGGCTTCTTTTTTTTTTTTTTTTTTTTTTTTTGAGACGGAGTTTCACTCTTGTTACCCAGGCTGGAGTGCAATGGCGCGATCTCGGCTCACCGCAACCTCCACCTCCTGGGCTCAGGCAATTCTCCTGCCTCAGCCTCCTAAGTAGCTGGGATTACAGGCACGCGCCACCACGCCCAGCTAGTTTTTTGTATTTTTAGTAGAGACAGGGTTTCACCATGTTGACCAGGATGGTCTCGATCTCTTGACCTCATGATCCACCCGCCTCGTGATCCACCGGCCTTGGCCTCCCAACCCAAAGTGCTGGGATTACAGGCTTGAGCCACCCACTGTGCCGGCCTAACAGTGGCTTCTTATGATAATGATTCTTATCTGGTGGTGGAAAAGATGACCTTTGAATGGGGAGATAATAGTTTAGGAAAGTTCCATTCTACCACAACTTGCAAGTTGAGGACCATGGTTCTAAGAAATATCCACAAAGTCAGTTAAACTATGATTTTAGCTAGTTGGTATGTAAAGTTTTGCTGGTAAGTAATGATTTAAATCCATAACTTTTCAAAAACAGAAGCCTTATTTCAAAAGCATTATTTGTGCATTATAGAAAATTAGAAAGTACAGATAATCATCTATGGTAACATTCCCAAAAAAGAGAAAATACAGATAAAATATTAAATGCAAATATTCCTACTATCTACAGGTGACCACTTTTAATATCTCCATAAATCTTCCCCAGCTGTGTCTTTTGACCTAAATATGATCATATTGAACATATTGTCTTGTAACTTGCCATTTTCATTTAATAATCTCCATCCTTGCCTTGTCAAAATTAATTTTCATGTCTTCTCATACTTAGTCTGTATTCAGATGTAAATTGTTCATCTCTTATATTTTCCATAAGTGAAAGTTAGTTCTAAACATGAAGGCTTTATCAGCTGTGAGTTCAACAGAATGCCTTTCAGAGCCAGTGTGTCGGAGCCAGCGTCCAGTCTGGAGAGTACACCCGGCATGTGGTTATGTCCCTTAATTCCCTTCCAATCTAGTGGATTTCTTTTTTTCAAGACACTGACTGAAGAGATTGCACAGTTTTGGTTTTAAGTACAGAGATGTAGCACATTTCTTAATCATGTTTAACTTTTATTTTGTGTATTTTAACCTAATCTGTTTTAAATTTTTTAAATTTATATTTTATTTCAGCAAAACAAGCTATCGATCAGGGAAGATCTCCAGTTATAATAGATAACACTAATATACAAGCTTGGGAAATGAAGCCATATGTGGAAGTGGTAAATATGAAATATGAGACAGTTTTTATTTTTATTGTTCTTGTCAGTTTTTTCACATTCTAAAATTTTGGCTAGATTGATCTTAATTATTTAAACATTTGTCCTTTGTTTTCTAAAGAGGTTTATTGGTTTGCTTAGTTTTTTAAAAAGTTGTGAATGATGCTTATTAAGGAACATGTTCATCTTGTTAGGTTTTTTTTGCTTGTTTTTTTGAGACAGAGTCTTGCTTGGTCACCCAGGCTGGGGTGCACTGGTGCCATCTTGGCTCACTGCAACCTCCTCCTCCCCAATTCAAGCAATTCTCCTGCCTCAGCCTCCTGAGTAGCTGGGATTACAGGCATGTGCCCCTATGCCCAGCTAAGTTTTGTATTTTTAGTAGAGACAGGGTTTCGCCATATTGGCCAGGCTGGTCTTGAACTCCTGAGCTCAATCTGCCCACCTTGGCTTCCTAAAGTCCTGAGATTACAGGCATGAACCACCATGCCCTGGCTCATCTTGTTAGTTTCGACTGATCTTGAGAATACTGTAGTACTCAAAATTTATCCAGTTGTCTTAATTTTTATAAACCATATTATTTTATAAAGCATCATTTTTCTTGGTCGAGCAAGTTTATAATATTGTCTAAATGAAATTTGTCTGCCTTCTTTTTACTTTAAGAAATATTCTCTGGGTTTTTCTTTTCTTCCTTTCCTTCGTGTAGGCCATAGGAAAAGGATACAGAGTAGAGTTTCATGAACCTGAAACTTGGTGGAAATTTGATCCTGAAGAATTAGAAAAGTAAGGCACTTGAATTTTTAATCTTATCTTCTTTCTTTTGTGAATTTTGACATCATTTCACAGTTTATTGAATACAAGTGTAGGTTCAGGAAACGGGAGAATATGAGGACCTTTTTTCTCTGGTTTTTGGGTAGGCATTGTCCTTCCACCTTCATCTCCTTCGCATTTTAGGTCCCATCAACTTTTTACTTTGTGCTTTCATGTTGCTCCCACTTTTCTGTCTTTTGAACTACAGGACCATAATGCTATACTAACATCCTTGGAATCAATGTGTTTTGAAATTTAGTGATTTTAGAAAAGTAATGTAGTGCATATATACCTAATCTTAACTCCCTTTTCAGAGTTTGGGGCAGCATGTCATAATCAAACATCGTAATATTTCTGCAGGCAAATCATGACTAGTCAATTCAAGTAAATGACAAAGAATCTCCATAATGTAAAGTCAATTCTGAGTAGGTTGTGCTGCCAAATGAATACAGATCTGTTTAGGGTTTGCTGCCAAATGAGTTAATGGAGAACTGAGTTTTCACAGCTTATTGGATTTCAGTATTTGTGGTGAGAGATTGTGGACTTTTATTACATTGAATCCTGCTCTTTCATTTGTATCTACCTTTACCTTTTCCCTTCGTATCACTCAGTTTCCTGTGTTTCACTGTGTTACTGTTTTTTTTTTTTTTCCTTTCATTCTCTTCCCTGTCCCCACCTCCCCATGCGCTTTTAGGTAACAACTTTTTTGTGATAAAATTCACATACCCTTACAATTCACCCATTTAATTGCATACAATTCAGTGTTTTTCTGTACATTGATAGAGTTGTGCAGCCTTCACCCTTCTTTTTTTTTTAAACCATTTTTTCTCCTCTTACCTCAGTTTGCTTCAAGCTGTTACTTTGTGTATGGGGTCCAATTTATTTCCCCTTTGCCTTTCATTCCTTTGGCTACTTTCGCTTTCTGATTTGTATGCTGTGTGTTCATGTATAGATAGACAAACAGATTTATTAGTGTTAATATCTGGTTTTTTTTGCCTGCCTAGCTGTGTGTGTATGTATCACACCTGAGGTGGAAGAGACAAAAGCTTAAAAATTCAAAATATTTGAGTAATGATGAATAAATGAATGATAAAATGCTATGCAGTTATGGCTTCATTACATTTTTTAGGAACTGTTAAAATTTATTATTTTCTTAAAATAAGTTTGACTTTATATAACAAAAGCCAGTTTAACTGATACCCGGTGTAGTTTGATTTTTGAAAAGAATGGATTGAATCATAAATCTTGGCATGTTATGGACTTAGTTGTTTTTTTTTTTAATGAAAAAAGTATTTATTGAGACAGGGTCCACTACTGTCACCTAGGCTGGAGTGCAGTGGTGATCTTTATTTATTTATTTATTTATTTATTTATTTACTTATTTATTTTTGAGACGGAGTTTCGCTCTTGTTACCCAGGCTGGAGTGTGCAATGGTGTGATCTCGGCTCACCGCAACCTCCGCCTCCTGGGTTCAAGCAATTCTCCTGCCTCAGCCCCCCGAGTAGCTGGGACTACAGGCGTTTGCCACCATACCCAGCTAATTTTTGTTTGTTTTTTTTTTTTTTTCTTTTTTTTTTTTTTTGAGACGGAGTTTCGCTCTTGTTGCCCAGGCTGGAGTGCAATGGCGTGATCTCGGCTCACTGCAACCTCCGCCTCCTGGGTTCAGGCAATTCTCCTGCCTCAGCCTCCTGAGTAGCTCGGATTACAGGCATGCGCCACCATGCCCAGCTAATTTTTTGTATTTTTCAGTAGAGACGGGGTTTCACCATATTGACCAGGATGGTCTCGATCTCCTGACCTCGTGATCCACCCGCCTCGGCCTCCCAAAGTGCTGGGATTACAGGCTTGAGCCACCGCGCCCGGCCTTAATTTTTGTATTTTTAGTAGAGATGGGGTTTCATCATGTTGACCAGAATGGTCTCGATCTCTTGACCTCATGATCCACCCACCTCGGCCTCCCAAAGTGCTGGGATTACAGGCGTGAGCCACCGCGCCTGACGATCTTTTTTTATTTTTATTTTTATTTTATTTTATTTTGTTTTCGAGACAGAGTCTTGCTCTGTCGCCAGGTGCCAGGGTGGAGTGCAGTGGCGTGATCTCAGCTCACTGCAACCTCTGCCTCCTGGATTCAAGCAGTTCTCCTGCCTCACCCTTCCAGTTAGCTGGGACTACAGGCTCGTGCCACCACACCCAGCTAATTTTTGTATTTTTTAGTAGAGATTGGGTTTCACCATGTTGGCCAGGATGGTCTCCGTCTCTTGACCTTGTGATCGCCTGCCTCAGCCTCCCAAAGTGCTGGGATTACAGATGTGAGTCACTGTACTCAGCTAGATTTAGTAATACCTTGCCAGTTTTCAACTTCATATCATTTTTTCTTCTAACTTTTTTGCTTTCTCTTATCTTCAATGTAAACATCAGTTTTGAAAAGTAAACATTGGCCGGGCCCGGTGGCTCAGGCCTGTAATCCCAGCACTTTGGGAGGCCAAGGCGGGTGGATCACGAGGTCAAGAGATCAAGACCATCCTGGTCAACATGGTGAAACCCCGTCTCTACTAAAGGTGCAAAAAATTAGCTGGGCATGGTGGTGCGTGCCTGTAATCCCAGGTACTCAGGAGGCTGAGGCAGGAGAATTGCCTGAACCCGGGAGGTGGAGGTTGCGGTGAGCCGAGATCGCGCCATTGCACTCCAGCCTGGGCAACAAGCGAAACTCCGTCTCAAAAAAAAAAAAAAAAAAAGAAAAAGAAAAGTAAACATTTCTGGCCTTTTTCTGAGATAAATAAATTGGCATTAGTACATCTAGAACTATAAATGTAAAATATGTTTTCTGTATGTTTTGTCGTGTCCAGGTCAAATTACAGAAAACTATGAGGGTAAAATAAGTTGTCAGAAGTTCTTTGAGAGTCCAGAATATATTTTAAACCACTTTTTAGTTTCATATAATCTCACATACAGAAACGTACATAAATATAAATATATAACTTAACAAAGTTCTTATAAGATTAACACAGATTTTACAGTCACCCATGTCATGGGAGTATTACCAGTACCTCAGAAGCTCTTTGCATTCCTCTTCTTAGTCACTGTTATCTTTTATTCTCTAAAGGTAACCATTGTTTTGCCTGGGTAATCATAATATCTTTTTTTTTTTTTTTTTTGAGACGGAGTTTCGCTCTTGTTACCCAGACTGGAGTGCAATGGCACGATCTCGGCTCACCGCAACCTCCGCCTCCCGGGTTCAGGCAATTCTTCTGCCTCAGCCTCCTGAGTAGCTGGGATTACAGGCACGAGCCACCATGCCCAGCTAATTTTTTGTATTTTTAGTAGAGACGGGGTTTCACCATATTGACCAGGATGGTCTCGATCTCTCGACCTCGTGATCCACCCGCCTCGACCTCCCAAAGTGCTGGGATTACAGGCTTGAGCCACCACGCCCGGCCTTTTTTTTTTTTTTGAGACGGAGTTTCGTTCTTGTTGCCCAGGCTGGAGTGCAGTGGCGCGATCTCGGCTCACCGCAACCTCTGCCTCCTGGGTTCAAGCAATTCTCCTGCCTCAGCCTCCCTAGTAGCTGGGACTACAGGCGTGCGCCACCATGCCCGGCTAATTTTTGTATTTTTAGTAGAGACGGGGTTTCACCATGTTGACCAGGATGGTCTCGATCTCTCGACCTCGTGATCCACCCACTTCGGCCTCCCAAAGTGCTGGGATTACAGGCTTGAGCCACTGCGCCCGGCTTGTTTTTCTTTTTGAGACAGAGTCTTGCTCTCTCCCAGGCTAGAGTGCAGTGGTGCCATCTCGGCTCACTGCTATTCTGCCTCGCGAGTTCAAGCGATTCTCCTGCCTCAGCCTTCCAAGTAGCTAGGATAACAGATGCCTGCGACCACAACCGACTAATTTTTGTAATTTTAGTAAAGACAGGGTTTCACCATATTGGCCAGGCTGGTCTCAAATTCCCGACCTTATGAATCCTCCCCACCTTGGCCTCCCAAAGTGCTGGGATTACAGGCATGAGCCGCTGTGCCTAGCCTGATAATAAATTTTTAAAATGTGATAGGAACTGTCATAAAATAACTTGTAAAAAGTGATTATTTTACTTCAGTTTTTGTAAGTCCTAGAAGTCCACTTTATCTTTCTTTAATTCTTAAGACAGTACCTCATAATCTTTAATTTTGTTATTAGCAAGGGGGGTATAGTCAGCAGTGAATATGTGAAGAGGATGTAATTAACATTTTTCAATGATATATGGAATTTTTACACCTTTTAAAACCTTGATAAAAACCTTGAGTTTGTAATAAGTCTTTTTACATAAAATGTGGGCAGGTCAAACATATCTACTGTTTATTTGCAATATATTCAGAATTTGTATATTTTTCCTCTAAAACAGTTAATCTCTAAGCCTGTACATTTTGCAACAAAGATTTACAATACTTTTCTTTTTTGTTAGGAGGAATAAACATGGTGTGTCTCGAAAGAAGATTGCTCAGATGTTGGATCGTTATGAATATCAAATGTCCATTTCTATTGTAATGAATTCAGTGGAACCGTCACACAAAAGCACACAAAGACCTCCTCCTCCACAGGGGAGACAGAGGTGGGAAGGCTCTCTTGGCTCACATAATCATGTCTGTGTCACAGATAATCATTAAATTAGCTATTTTCAGCTAACACATTTATTTGCAATGGAAAAAGAATTAGTGAGCCTGTCTTGGAATTTAAATAGTTTCAAATAAAAGACTACATTGCCTCACAAAGAATGTTCCCAGCAAGTTGTTAACATGTAAATAAAAATTATGTGAAATTGTATTTTAAATGTTTTTATATTCTCTTGTTGTAATACTTTTGGCTGTTAAGAAAACACCTGAATAGTAGAGTGGTGGGTAGATGCTAGGATGGTTTTCTACAATTGAATTTTAAACTAACTTTATCTGTTTTATAGATACCATTGAACAGTTTTTTAATAGTTCATACTTAAATCTAACTTTTTATAAAACTTTAGTGTTTTTCCCTTCCTTCCTTAAATATGCAAGATAATACTAACTTGTTATAGGGCGCCTTAGTTGTTTCCTCTATTCATTAGGTAAAATTACGTTTCAGCTGATTGATCTGTGTGAGAAAATTATTTAAGTTATAATCAGCACATCACTTGGTTCAAACAAAATTCCCCAGCAAATGTTAGATGGTAGGCATATAAATCTGGGGAATTTTCTTCGTTATATACATATTCATCTTGTAATGTATACATATACATATTTTCCTTCTTCTCAAGCCATCTTTCTAATCCCATATGCTTGCCAGTTCTTGAAAAGATAAAGTTATGCTAATAATGTTTGCTTCTCTGTTCAATTTAATGTGATATAATTCTATTATAAAAGTATTTTGAACAGTTGCTCAACATTGATCATAAGAGGATTTGTACTATAGAATGTCTTTTAGTACTAATTTTTCTGTAGAGCAAACTATTTCTCTCATTAGATAGTTTTCTTTATTAGACATGTTTTTTCACTTAAGATTAAAAATTGAGATGGAATTCATTTCAGAGGTCTTGTCATTCATCCCCTGCCTTCAAATTGAGCTTTACCTAGACTAACCTAAATAATATAAGCATTTCTCTGTGACATGAGGAAAAAATATTACTACCTCTCTTAATAGCATTGTTCCCAATGTCTTATGAAAAACCTATCTTCAATAGTTTTTATTTACTTTTTTGATTTACTCTTTTTTTTTTTAATTTATTTTTTTATTTTTTATTTATTTTTATTTTTTTTAGATGAGGTTTCACCATGTTGGTCAGGCCGGTCTTGAACTCCCGACCTCAGGTGTTCCGCCCGCCTTGGCCTCCAAAGTACTTGGATACAGGCGTGAGCCACCATGCCCGGCCTTGATTTACTCTTTTTGGGGAAAAAAAACCCAGCTAATTACAATGGTGTTTTTTTTTTTGTTTTTTTTTTTTGAGACGGAGTTTCGCTCTTGTTACCCAGGCTGGAGTGCAATGGCACGATCTCAGCTCACCGCAACCTCCGCCTCCTGGGTTCAGACAATTCTCCTGCCTCAGCCTCCTGAGTAGCTGGGATTACAGGCATGCACTACCATGCCCAGCTAATTTTTTGTATTTTTAGTAGAGAAGGGGTTTCACCATGTTGACCAGGATGGTCTCGATCTCTTGACCTCGTGATCCACCCGCCTCGGCCTCCCAAAGTGCTGGGATTACAGGCTTGAGCCACCGCGCCCGGCCTACAATGGTGTTTTAAAAAATTGAGCATTATGATTCTTTGTATATGGCCTTTAAACTTTCTCTTAAACCAGTGAATCTTGAATCCCATAGTATTTCTTTGTGTGTTTTTTTTTTTTTTTTTTTTCTTTTCTTTTTTTTGAGACAGAGTTTCGCTCTTGTTACTGAGGCTGGAGTGCAATGGTGCGATTTCGGCTCACTGCAACCTCCGCCTCCTGGGTTCAGGCAATTCTCCTGCCTCAGCCTCTTGAGTAGCTGGGATTACAGGCACGCACCACCATGCCCAGCTAATTTTTTTTTTTTTTTTTGAGACGGAGTTTCGCTCTTGTTGCCCAGGCTGGAGTGCAATGGCGCATTCTCGGCTCACCGCAACATCTGCCTCCTGGGTTCAAGCAATTCTCCTGTCTCAGCCTCCCAAGTAGCTGGGATTACAGGCATGTGCCACCACGTCCGGCTAATTTTTTTTTTATGTTTAGTAGAGACGGGGTTTCCCCATGTTGACCAGGATGGTCTCGATCTCTCGACCTTGTGATCCACCCGCCTTGGCCTCCCAAAGTGCTGGGATTACAGGCTTGAGCCACCGTGCCCGGCATTTCTTTGTTTTAAAACCTTTTGCTATTCCTTTCAACTTTTTTTTTGAGACCGAGTTTTGCTCTTGTTACCCAGGCTGGAGTGCAATGGTGCGATCTCGGCTCACCGCAACTTCCGCCTCCTGGGTTCAGGCAATTCTCCTGCCTCAGCCTCCTGAGTAGCTGGGATTACAGGCACGCGCCACCATGCCCAGCTAGTTTTTTGTATTTTTAGTAGAGACGGGGTTTCACCATGTTGACCAGGATGGTGTTGATCTCTTGACCTTGTGATCCACCCGCCTCGGCCTCCCAAAGTGCTGGGATTACAGGCGTGAGCCACCGCGCCCGGCCTCCTTTCAACTTTAAATATTACTTTTTATGTTGTGAGGCTGAACACCTAGAGTCAGTACTATCAACAAGGTCTTTATTACATGGCCTTTAGTGAAATAAGAATGTGATTTTATTTGTACTACTTAGTGCTATTAACATTAGAATGAGTATTACCTTTAGCTTGTTTAACACATGTATGTATATATTTGCTCATCTTAATATACAGTAAGAATATGCTAATTTGTTTTGTGTGTAAATGTACATTATATACATATATACATGTTCAGCTATGTTTTCATATATTTTATTTCAGAGTAATACTTGTTGGTATTTGGACTTGTGTTTCTAAGTATTTGATTCTGTAGATTAGCACAGTTTGAAAATTGTACACAAGGATTTCATTTTGCGACAGGTGAAACAACTCTTAGGTAGACTGTGTGTCCCTTTCCCTCTGTCTTCATAAACTTAAGAGTAATAATACTACAAATTTAATTTTTCAGCTGGGTGCAGTGGCTCAGGCCTGTAATCCCAGCACTTTGGGAGGCCAAGGCAGGCAGATCACCTGATACCAGGAGTTTGAGACCAGCCTAGCTAGTACAGTGGAACCCCATCTTTACTAAAAATACAAAAATTAGCTGAGCATGATGGTATGTGTTTGTAATCCCAGCTACTTGAGAGGCTGAAGGAGAATCACTTAAACCTGGGAGGCAGCGTTTGCAGTGAGCAGAGATTGCGCCCCTTGCATTCCAGCCTGTGAGACAGAGCAAGACTCCATCTCAAAAAAAAAAATTAGTTTTTTGAATAACATTTAATCAAGTTTATTTTCAGAAAGTAGAGGATTGCCTTTGGAGAAACAGATTATGAGGCAATATGTTCCTATTAACTTTAAATTTCTAGGTTATAGACTGATCTTCATCTCCTAGTTCTGTTCTAACTGCTAAATAATAATCATTTAGAGATCATTAGTCATTTCCAGTTAATTTTTTTTTACATTATAATGTTAGTGAGACAGCTACTGTTGTATCATGAGGTCCAAATAAATAAATCTTAACTGAGGAGGAAAACTAACATTCTTACAATTAAACAAATTAAGGTCTTGCTCTGCTATCTGGGCTGGAGTGTGGTGGTATGATCATAGCTCGCTGTAACCTTGAACTCCTAGGCTCAAGGGGTCTTCTTTCTCAGCATCTCAGGTAGCTGGGACTTATAAACGTGTGTACTGCCCACACTTGGCTAATTTTTGCATGTTAAAAAGTTTTTTGTAGAGATGGGGTCTTCCTGTGTTGCCCAAACTGATCTTGTACTCCTTGCCTTAAATGATCCTCCTACCTTGACCTCTCCAAGTGCTGAGATTACATGCATGAGCCACGTACCAGCTTTAGTATTTTTTTGTTCTGTTTTTTGAGACAGAGTCTTGCTCTGTTGCCTAGGCTGGAGTGCAGTGGCATGATCTTGGCTCACAGCAACCTCCACCTCCCAGGATCAAGCAGTTCTGCTTCAGCTTCCCAGATAGCTAGGATTAGAAGTGTGCACCACCAAGCCGGATAATTTTTGTAGAGATGGGGTTACACCATGTTGGCCAGGCTGGTCTGACCTCAGGTGATCTGCCAGTCTTCGCCTCCCAAAGTGCTAGGATTACATGTGTGAGCCACCATACTCAGCCTAGTTATTATTTTCAAGACATAAATATAGTTGTTTTCCTAAATATTGTGGCTAATTTTAATTAAAAACAATGGAGGAATTAACATGCACTGGAAATACTAAAGTGACTATTTAAAATCATTGCTTGGTGTCTAAAAATCTATAAAAATGTGAAATTTGTAATTATTCTTCAAAAGTTTCCTATTCAAACAGTCTTGGTGGGGGCAGGCTTAAGAGAGGAGGTGTCTTTGTGTTGAATAGACTGGACTTAACTGGTCTCAAGTGATCATCCTGCCTTAGCCTACCTGGTAGCTGGGATTACAGGCACCCAGCCAGATGCAGTGTTAGTGAGATAGACCCCTGCTGCTGTACCTCATTCTTTTTTTTTCTTTTCTTTTCTTTTTTTTTTTTGAGACGGAGTTTCACTCTTGTTACCCAGGCTGGAGTGCAATGGCGCGATCTCGGCTTACCGCAACCTCCGCCTCCTGGGTTCAGGCAATTCTCCTGCCTCAGCCTCCTGAGTAGCTGGGATTACAGGCATGTGCCACGATGCCCAGCTAATTTTTTGTATTTTTAGTAGAGACGAGGTTTCACCATGTTGACCAGGATGGTCTCGATCTCTTGACCTTGTGATCCACCCGCCTCGGCCTCCCAAAATGCTGGGATCACAGGCTTGAGCCACCTTGCCCAGCCTTTTTTTAAATTTTTTTTTTTGTATTTTTAGTAGATACAGGGTTTCACCATGTTGGTCAGGATGGTCTTGATCTTTTGACCTAGTGATCCGCCCACTATAGCCTCCCAAAGTGCTGGGATTACAGGCATGAGCCACCATGCTTGGCTTTGAGACTGTGTTTTCTGAGTATTTATAAGGAGAATTGGTAGTGTATAAAATGTAGAACTGTAGTTGTGTGTTTTAGTGTCTTGACCAGATAGACTTGCCAGTCTTTATTGAAGTTTTATGTAGTCTGATGTGAATACAGTAACTAATAAGGCCTAAAGTATTGTTGCTTTTTTGTCCCTTGACGTTTGCAATC